TGTGTGTGTCAGAGAATGAGGAAAGCAGAGTGCTGTGTGTCTTAAGTAGGGGGCTGCTGATGTAATTCGCTCTTATCATGTGACACCCAGTATCAGTGACAAAGAAGCCATACATTGATCTATCAACGAGTGTTTAGCCAATAAACGCATGATGAACGTCAACTCATAACATGAACCCTGGTGCTAAAGCTTCTGTAGCCCCGTCTCTCTTGATCTTGGGTGCTTTAGTGAGTAGGTGGGGTTACGTTTGCAGGGGGAAGGGTGGCCAGTGGATATACGTCAAATTTAAAGGGACGGGCTTTGTTTTTAATTTTTTTGAAGTATGTAATGTGCATTAACCTCCTTGTCTGTGTAGCCTATCAAAAATGATGTCGTAATCTGTTATGTTTCCCCCTAGGAACAGAGACACTATTATTTGTAATGATTTTCAGTTAAAGTGACAAGCACCGAGTTTAGTTGTTTTAAAAAATAAGGAAAATAAAAAATAATTAATATCAATTGAGCTTAGAATAAAGCGACATAAAAAAAGATGGATAAAAATTTAAATTAAGTATCAGGTTCAGTGCCAGTGGTGTCCAAAACAAAAAAGCTAATTATTTGCAAATGGTAATTGCTTAAAAATTGTATAAAAAGAATAAATACAAATAAAAACTTTATTCATTCTAAATTTATCATTGAGTTTAATGGTGTCAGAAAAACAGAAAAATATTATTAATAATAATGTGCCGAGTGTTGAGTTTAGTTGTATTTAAAAAAAAAAAATCATGACAAATATATGTATGTGTATATATATATATGTATGTATGTATATATGTATATATGTATATATGTATATATATATATATATTTTGATTATAGTTAATATTTAGTTGATATTTTATAGGTTGAGGTTTGGGTTAAAGACATCAAAGAATAATTATTAGATAAAAAAAATAATAGTAGCTAAGCATCAGGTTCAGTGCCAGTGGTGTAAAAATAAGATCTAATTATTTTGAAGTAATAATTGGTCAAAAACAAAATTAAGCATTAAAATGGTTAATCATTAAAATTGTCAGAAAAAAAAAACAAAAAGCAAATAAAAATGATTATTATTATTATTATTATTATTATTAATAATAATAGTGCCCAGCATTGAGCACAGTAGTATTTGAAAAGACAAAGCAAATAAAAATTAATTAGTAAAATTAATATGTTGAGCTGCAGAGGGGAAAGATGGCCGGCAGCTATATGTCAAATTTAAAGAGGCAGGCTTTGTTTTTATTTAGTTTTTAATATATGCAATGAGCAGAAACCTCTTTGCTTGTGTTTCCTTTCCGTCATGATGTCATAATCTGCTATTTTCCCCCATTTTAGTCTGACCTTAGGATGTATGTATTTCTGCTCACCTGTTGTGCGGGTCTTACGCTATGTAATCATCGCACGATCCTTGACCCAGTTCTTTGTGCAAATGTGTGCAGTGATGCACGGCGTTGGTTATACGAAGACGACAAGACGTGCCTTCTGACAGCTGATCCGACATCTGGATTTGATTTGGTGGTTTTTCTAAAGACCACAGAAACTCAATTCACGGGTCTTAAATCATCTACCCATGAAGCGTGTGGTTTGTGGCTGTGTGTTGTGTTTTGGTACGGGGGTTTGATGGCTAGTTGAACACACTGGGGTTTCTGATGAGGGGGTTTTAAGTGTTTAAACATCTCATTAGGTTTTGATGGACAGGTAAATGTTGCTTGTGATCTTATAAAATCTTCTGCGACTGAAAATGTTTGTGTAATATGCTCTAATTCAGTTATTTGCTGATAGATACAACCGTAAAACCAGCCGCACTTTTAATGTCTCATGCATAAGAAAATATCAAACCTGTTAGCATATATTTTAAAGATGCACAAGCAGAACATTTTTCAAGTTGTTTGCAATGCATCATTTGTTTGCATACATTTCGTTTTCTAATGCATTAATATTGTAACATAATACATTGTGCATTAAAGGCATAGTTCACCCAAAAATGAAAATTCTCTCATCATTTACTCATCCTCGGGTTGTTCCAAACCTGTATGAGTTACTTTCTTCTGTTGAACACAAAAGAAGATATTTTGAAGAATGTTGGTAATTAAAATCTTGACAGTACCGTCAACTGTTTGGTCAAGAAAATGCATTTCAATCTCTTCCGTTCTATGTTTTCTGTCAGGAGGCAGTCAGGCGGAGGTGGAGACTAGAGAGTGCATCTACTACAATGATAACTGGCGGACGGAGAAAACCAATCAGAGTGGTTTTGAGAGGTGTGAGGGGGAGAAAGACAAGAGGCTGCACTGTTACGCTTCCTGGATGAACTCCACCGGAACCATCCGCCTGGTCAGAAAAGGCTGCTGGCTCGACGACTTCAACTGTTACGACAGGTAACATCAAAACCTCCTTTATATAATGGCACTGTTTTATTCAACTGCCTTTTTTCATTGTTGTGCCAAACAAGTTAAGGACATATTTTAAAATCCTTATTTAATTTATTGTCTTATCACAGGTTTCATTTAATGTAACAGTCAGAACTTATTTAAACATACTGTTGTTTAAAAGTGTGGGGTCAGTGAGATTTGTGAATGTTTTTGATGCTCTTATATCCATCAAGGCTGCATTTGTTTTACAATAAACACAGTAAAAATGGTAATATTGTGAAATATTATTATAATTAAAAATAACTGCTTTCTTTGTGAATATATTGTAAAATGTCATTTATTCCTTTGATGCTAAGCTGAATTTTCAGTGTCACACGATCCTTCAGAAATCATTCTAATATGCTGATTTGCTGCTCAGGAAACATTTCTGATTATTATCAGAGTTGAAAACATTTTATTCTTAATATTTTTATAGAAACCATGATACATTTTTTCAGCATTTATTTAAAATGGTAATCTTTTGTTACATTATAAATGTCTGTATTGTCACTTTTAATCAATCAGTGTTTATTAAAAAAAAAAAAGTATTAAAATCTAACTGACCCCGAATTATAGAAATCAATAGCTATCAATTCATTCTTTTAATGTTTGTAAATAAAATCATTTTGTTCCAAACTGTTGGGGAAAATTAAAGTGCTCGAATAGCTTTGAAACACAAGTTTGTTGGTTATAATATAAGCTTATGTAATTAATGACAGAATTAATTAATTTGTCATGTTTTGAAACCAGCAGTTTTTTCCAGCCAAGAGCCATATTCTCTTGTGAAAACGTCAAATGAGTCACATTAGATATTGATCAGTGAGAATTGTAAACTGTTTTGAACAGCTGAAAACGATGGTGTTTTTGCATATGTGCTTTCCTCGCAGACATCAGTTACGACATTTAGATTTATTTCTCTTTAATTTAGCAGTTAAGAATTCATTCAACAGTCAGTGCCATTTTACTACGACTAATTTTAGATCTACCCCTTTCATCACTGTTTTCTCTCTCTCTCTCTATCGCTCCTGCAGGTAAACCAGCCTCCATATGTCACCTCACAGCCATGTGGCCCGTTCTTTAGAATCTTTTGCCTAAAAAATATCTGTATATGAAATGTGCTACTTTTAATGGTCTTTGGTTGGCATGTGAATAGTCATAATTCTCAGTGTTTTGTTGAATAAAGCAATGTGTTGTATGTTACACTGATTTTACCATGGTTAAGAGGTGAAGCTTTAATGCCAAAATATACAGTTATGGCAATAGCAATATGATCAATATTTGCATTTGTTAACAAAAAAGTAATATCTTTTAGTTGTGTAACTGCAGGTGATGGTAGATGCAAGAGTTAGTGCATTAATATAAAATTGATGTTCAGCCATAGCTGGGTATTTTCATAATGACTTCAGTCTAAGTGATTTGTTTAGTTTTTTTTACACTTCTGTTATTGCTGACATTGTTTTGTGTTTTCTCACAGTAAAGATCCAGCCTCCTCAGCCGGGGCCGTCTCTGTGGGGTGTGCTGGTTTATTCTCTTCTTCCTTTCGCCATTCTCTCTCTGGCCCTGGTGCTCGCCTGCTGGACGTACCACCAACGAAAACCACCCTACAGACACGTCGACATTGGCCAGGTCTGACAGCTATGTATATGTTTGTATCACAGTTTCCACAAAACCGTTAAGCAGCACTACTGTTTTCAACACTGATAATAATCAGAAATGTTTCTTAAGCAGCAAATCAGCATATTAGAATGATTTCTGAAGGATCATGTGACACTGAAGACTGGAGTAATGATGCTAAAAATTCAGCTTTGCATCACAGGAATATATTACGTTTTAACATATGTTCACTTAGAAAGCAGTTATTTTTGTTTATAATAATATTTCACAATATTACTATTTTTACTGTATATATGGTCAAATAAATGCAGCCTTGGTGAGCATAAGATCCTTTCAAAAACATTGTAACATCTTACCGACCCCATGTTTTGCATATGTCTTGAGTTTAAATCCTGAAATTATTATTGGGTTATGCTTGTAGTTTTCTTTCAGATGAATGACTGTTGAAAAGATTTTAAGTATATTTTGCAGTTAGATCCCGAAGTTTACATTTTTGCCACACACAAGTTTATTTACTTTGACTAACTTGTACTGCTCATCAGATACTGTTTCTTATCTGTGTTTCTTTATTTGTATTTTTGTGATTAGGATGCTGGTCTTCCTCCACCGTCTCCTCTGGTTGGCCTGAAGCCGCTGCAGTTGCTGGAGTTGAAGGCCAGAGGGCGCTTTGGCTGCGTCTGGAAGGCCCAGTTACTGAGTGAATATGTGGCGGTGAAAATATTTCCCATCCAGGTAAATATTCTACTGGTGCACTATTCAAACAGGATTGCTTGTGTGTTTTCTTCCTCAAATGAAATGTGTGTGTGTATAGTGCTTGATTCAGAAATAATGTCTTTATTAACAGGACAAGCAGTCGTGGCAAAATGAAAGAGACATTTACCTCACCAAGGGTTTTAAACACGAGAATATTCTACACTACATCTCAGCAGAAAAACGTGGCACAAACCTTCAGATGGAGTTGTGGCTGGTCACAGAATTCCATGAACGGGTGAGTGAGAGTTTATTTTTCCTAAAATGTCCCTAGAGAAATGACAACCCTATTGTGAGGAATAATGGACCAAATAATGTTTTAAATATGCACCAAATAAAAACCGTTGTATGTAAAGACATGCATATAAATATACGTTTTTGGTGTTCAGTTGCATCAATTCAGAATGAATAAATAAAAACCAACAATAATCTCCACATTATAAAGTCAAAATATAATTGCAAATTGAAAGAAACACTAGGCTAATCTATCTAATATTTGAAACTTGCCAGTGTGTATTGTAAATGTTGCTCTTATGATAAAGTGTTTGTGATGATCCGTATTTGTAAGTGGCTTTGAATAAATTGAATTTATGAATGTAAGAAACACTAAGCTTCGAGTCCCAAATCAAATCAGTTTTACAGAAGAGTTTTAAATTAAGAGTATAAATTAAATGCACTAAAAGTCATATGCTTTATTCTCTTCATTGCATATCTACATTGCTTCAAAAATGTTTTATTTTTCTGTAAATGTCCCTAGATGTGAAACTCATGCTTTTTGAGAGGCAAAATGTCTAATAATGTTTTAAAGGTGCACCAAATAAAAACTGCTGTATCTAAAGATATGCATAGAATTTTTGACCAGTGTTATTTTAGTATCAATGAGGGTTTTTATTAATAGTTTGAATTAGTTTAAATTTTTATGGTTTCTGTTTTATTTCAGTTTTAGTTCAAATGTTGGTATTTTTGTGTTTTTGTCATTTTTATTAGTGGGGTTTTTTTTTTGTTTTTGTTTTAGTTTCGTTTTTTTTTGTTTGTTTTTTTGTATATCAAGTAAATGATGAAAATGAGCAACGATTCCTTAGGAAATAGTTGAATTAAAATTAAAACTTAATTAAAAAAAAAATCTTTATTTTATTTCAGTAAGTATTTTATTTAAATATTGAAGTGAATATTGCATTTTATTTCATAAAAAAAAGCCATAATCTTTATTAAAAGCCCAAATTGTATGCATTGCAGGGTTCACTAACAGATTACCTGAAGGGAAACCCGGTGAGCTGGCCTCAGTTGTGCCATATTTCTGCAAGTATGTCCCGTGGCCTGGCGTACCTTCATGAAGACCTTCCTTACAGAGCAGAGGGACCCAAACCCGCCATCGCACACAGGTACATGAGCTGAAGCGAATCTCAAGCTTTTACAACATCAATACAGATCTGAAAGGAAAGTGATGTTTGAGCATTTGATATGTCATTTTAAAAGAGATTTGTAAATATTGTGCTCTTGCTGTATAGTGATAAGCAAGAGGAAGTCTGTAGATACTGGGTGATTTGAGCTTTGTGATTTGCAGAGACTTCAAGAGTAAGAATGTCCTGCTCAAGACTGATTTGACCGCAGTGATTGCAGACTTTGGGTTGGCTGTCTGCTTCGAGCCTGGGAAACCGCCTGGAGATACACACGGCCAGGTGAGTGTCTCAAAGATGAAGCCAAGCCTTTGACTACAGTTCAGTTCATCTGCCTCTTCATATCCATGCTAAATATGGGAATTAATGCACTGAAGTTACCTAATAAAAACTCTACTGTTCAGCTCTGGGTTGGTAAAAAGAATGTTTTTGAAAGACTGCAGTTATTTGAACAAAATTGAAGTAAAAACAGTAATATTGTGAAATACTATTACAATTTAAAAGAGCTGTTTTATACTTGAATACGTAATTTATTCCTGTGATCAAAGCTGAATTTTCAGCATCATTCAGTGTCACATGATCCTTCAGAAATCATTCTATTATGCTTATTTGCTGCTCAAGAAACATTTCTGATTGTCGATGTTGAAAAAAGTTGTGCTGATACATATTTATGTGGAAACCGTTATACTTGTTGTTGTTTTTTTCTCAAGAGAGAACAGTATTTATTTTGAAACTTTAAAATGTCTTCACTGTCACTTGTGACAATTTAATTGTGATCAGTTTAATGCATCCTTGTTGATTTGCTTAAAAATAGTTGCAGACTCTAAATTTTTTACTGGTAGTGCTTATAAATACACTGAACAAAATTATAAACGCAACACTTTTGTTACACAGATTTAGACAGATTTGTGAACAATATTTGAGAGAAATAGGCCTTTTGTGTACATAGAAAAAGTCTTAGATCTTTGAGTTCAGCTCATGAAAAATGGGGGCAAAAACAAAAGTGTTGCGTTTATAATTTTGTTCAGTGTATTTGTTGGTGTTCTGGTGCATCAATTCAGAATGAATATATGAAGACCAAACAATAATCCGCACACCTAGTCAAAAAATATAATTACAAATTCAAAGAACACTAGTCTAATTTGTCTTATACTTGGCACTGTGTACTGTAAATATTGCTGCTCTTATGATAAAGTGCTTGTGATGTTCCTTATTTGTAAGTGGCTTTGAATAAAAGCATCTGCTAAATAAATAAATGTAAGAAATGTGAGGCTATTCGAGTCTATCAATTTCACTGAAGAGTTGTGCAAATACAACCACAAAAATGGCAAATGTTTCAGCCTCTTAGATTTTAGTCTCTTATGATTATTCAGCCATTTTTAAGTGCAAATAAGTGTAAATTTGAAGCACGTCATGATGGTCCCCAGACTCCACTGGGATGGCGGTGAAACTGTGTCCAGTGAATCACTGTTTGTGTTTTCTGTCCCGCCGCAGGTGGGAACTCGGCGTTACATGGCTCCAGAGGTGCTGGAGGGGGCCATTAATTTCCAAAGGGACGCCTTCCTAAGGATCGACATGTACGCTCTAGGACTGGTGCTGTGGGAGCTGGTGTCTCGCTGCACTGCCTCCGATGGTGAGTCTGCACAAACATACGGACCTCCGAGCGTGTGTGCGCACCATAGTTTTCATTTTGTAAGTAATGTGTTATATAATCGAATACACACCATAATAATTGAACTTTTAACTACAGAACTGTTAATGTTTTATATCTCTGGCTATAAATTCAGGGAAGTTATTTTTTTTTTTTTGTTTCATACAAATTTTATAAATACAAATTTCCATATATTCTGACCTGAGAAGTATGACCCATGTGAATTATAAAATTGCTAAACAAACTGAAAATGTGTCGTTTTCAGTTAAATTTCAGCCCAAAATGAACAATAACTATCATTTTGATGTTTTACAGTACAATGAGGTATAGTTCAGCTTTTCATTTTTTTTGTGTGTTTGTCCTTAGCTGATCACACATGCCTGTGTATTGCGTGTTTTATACAGCTAATGCTTTTGCTGTCTCACTCAGGTCCTGTAGGTGAGTACCAGCTGCCCTTTGAAGAGGAGGTGGGCCAACATCCTTCACTGGAAGACCTTCAAGATGTGGTGGTCCACAAGAAGATGCGGCCCGTCTTTAAAGACTGTTGGATCAAACATCCGGTGAGAATTAATGTACTTTTGAGTAGAAGCTAGAGCCACACAGTTACTTACTAAATAAAACAAAAATTGCATTTATGGTTTAGTGCGATTATCATATCACAAAGACTGTGATTTGAGTAAATAAATATATGCACTGCATGTTTCAGAGTAAAGCACAGCGCTGTGTTCTTTTACATGTGAGCAGCTCATGATGCAGTGTTTTGAGTGTTTCAGAGCAGCTCAGCTTGCACCCAAACTAAACTCTGCATCCGCTTTGAGTTTGGGTCACTTTTAAAGTGCATTTGGGAATACAGCATGCACCAATCATCTTCTCAAAATCATAATAAGTGCATATCAACAAAAGTGAAGCTTTAAAGGCTCCCTGCAGTTTTCTGTCCAAATAAATATTTGATGGTTTGAAGTGAAGACGGAGATAAATATTAGTATTGTCATTTTTTAAAATTTAGTAATTTTACTGTATTAGTAGTAGTAGTAGGGTTGCAAAAATTTGGAAAATTTCCAGTAAATTTCGGAAACTTTCCAGAATTTTTTGGGAATATTCCAGGGATTTTTGGAAAGTTTCCAGAAACTTACCGGAAATTTTCCACCCCTTTGCAACCCTAAGTAGTAGTAGTAGTAATAATAGCAATATTATTATTCTTACAAAAATTTAATTAAAATTTTGCGACTTATATAATTAAGAAAAATATATTACTGTTGTAAAATTATTCTTAATTTTACTTCTTAATTTAATTTAATTCTTAATTGTTCTTTAGTGCTTGATTTTTTTTTTTTTTTACAGTGAAATATTGCAATGATTATTTTTTTACTTAGTAATTTATTTTGTAGAACTAAATTAAAACTAAATCACAGTAATATATTGCTGTTGTAAATTACAATTGTATTGTAAAATAAAATATAAGGATCTTATTTTAAACTAGTTACATTACTAATATTTATGTCTTGCATTCCTTCTTTTTAAATGTTCAAACCCTCAAGCTTTAAACATTTCAAATTTATGAGCTTTTATTTTAAAGGAATACTACTGAAATGTTGTAAACTTCTGCCCACAACAATGTTGGAAATGAAGTAAATAAAGTGAACCTAAGGCACGTTGCGTTCCCAAATGCACATTAAACTCGCAGCACATTCAGAGATGGAGTTTATTTTACAGTTATTTAATTTGATAAGCACATTTTGATTAGAAATATTAGGAAGTTGCCCATATGAAATAAATAGGGCTATTTGTTTCACATGGGCAATGCATGCTGATCCAGCTTGTGACATCTTCCAATTTTGAAATCCTTTAAATAATCTCGACCTAATTTTGACCTCTTTCTCTGCGGTTCGGTCAGGGTTTGGGCCAGTTTTGCGAGACCATCGAGGAGTGCTGGGACCACGACGCAGAGGCGCGACTGTCGGCGGGCTGCGTGGAGGAGCGCATCTCCACCATCTCCAAGACAGCCAACACCATCAACACGTCTACCTCGGAGTGCCTGGTCTCCATGATGATGACGTCCCACAGCGACACGGACCTTCCTCCCAAAGAGTCCAGCACCTGAACGCCCGCCTCCAAACATCAGGGACTGCCAACCACTGCGTTCATCGCTCCAGTAAATGTGAACTTTGCTGCTAATTTGATCGTCATGTATTTCATTTCTTGGATCGCTTTCACCAGCACATTCATCTACTGTACTCTTCCGAGAGGAAGGCACACACAGAAAAACCTCAACCAAACTCTCAGAGGGCATTCAGGGGATCGTTTCAGACTGCTGGGATATGAGCACACGTTACCTCATCGGATTTAATGCCATTTTTATGTTGTTTTTTTGCCTTCACTCCATGAATACCTCCATCCGAACGCTCGACCCTCGGGTTTTATCAAGACTACGCGACGATCTGATGACTGTTACACAAACTTCCAAGAGCACACAAGGTCCTTTTTGTACTCTGTGAATTTTAGTCTAGTTTTAACGTACCCTTTCTTCCTCGAAATGTCTCGTGGGATGTTATTTGTCGTGTTTCCGACAGTGGCGGCAGTTGTCTGGGACACTGGAAGCTGAAGGCAGCGGGACTGTTATGATTCGAGTTGCCTTTCGCAGCATCGGGATTGGTTTTAATGTAGCATCCGCTTGTGTTGAAGTATCTGAAGTCAGACGTGCCATCAGTTCAGCGTTCGTTGTTTCCGAGTGACAAGAGCTGCAGTCGAAGTGTTAGTTCTGTAGCCACGTGAAGAGCAGCGCTGCGTTCCAGGTTTGATTTCAATGTTTCGGTGCATCAGGAAAGCGCGTGATGTTTATCCGCTACACTACTCAGGTAAACTCTGTGCATGTGATTGTGTGACCGCTCACTCTTACAGCAATAGTTCTCAGCAGTATGTTGAATCTCACCAGGACAAATCTGGGTCATGAGTCACCTGAAAATCGAAATGAAAAATATAGAGTTAAACATTCATGAAAATGTAGCTTGTTTTTTGCTCCAAGATTTTTTTTGCACTGTGGCATTATTTAACTGTTAAGCCCATCTTAGCATATCATTAGCATAATGCAAAACCAATACTTTAATGAAGATATCGCAAATTGATTTTTTTTTTTACTTAATTTAAATTAGTTTAAGGAATTTGGTTCAAGAAAATGACCTTAAATATTTTTACAGGTGTGCTTTCCAAATTTTATATATATTTCCTCACATGACAGTAAAAATAAATTTCTTATATGTGCCAAATTGGGCTGAAATAATAATGTTGTTTTATATATATATATATATATAAGGTCGTAGTATAGGCTTTATTCTCTTTATGCCGCATTTAATTTAATAAAGCTCTTGGGCCATTGTGTATTATCTTTACTGTAATGTGAAAACTACTATCCAACAATTGATATTTACAGTTGTGTTTTTGCAATTTAAATATTTTTTCTGGCAGCACAGTAATGATCATGTTTTTTTGCATTACAGTAATGAAAATGCAATGTACTACAATGTCATAAATGCTGTCACAATA